ACTCATTTCTTTCAATGTTTATACACAAATCATTGGCTATATCACAGTGCATAATGAAAAGTTATTTTTGTGGAAGAAATGTTTGAAAATCAATTGAAGCAAGAGTAAGGATTGTTAGTATTTTTAATTAATGAGTTAACCTTTTGATGGTTATTGTAATAATGTATTACTTTTTTCCTGTATTTACATTGCAATAAAATTAGTACAATGAAACTTTTCATAAACATTGTCAATTGGCTTAAAGTTCAAGTTTAAAAAATGACAATTAAGGCATGAATACACAAAGATTTTGAATCAATAATTTAATTACTGTTATCCTAATTAGAACTTGGAATCCTCTGTTTCAGAAAGCAGAAGAATACCTCAGCATTTTAATTATAGGGCTATATATAGAAATATATTTGAGCCCTCAGTTAGAACTATATTATTATTTCAACTTTCATTAATGGAAAAATGTACTTTTAATGATTTTTATTGTACTGATTTCTTACTGATTTAATGATTTCTATTGTACTGATTTAATGATTTTATTGTGTCTTATAATCAAAAAAGTGTCTTATAATGAAAATTCTAATTGTAGTTTAATATCAAAATGGTTTCTTGAGCTTTTGAAATATCAATAGTACTGTGTCTGCAATTTCACCTAATTCTGCACTTTGTAAGGACTCCTAAATGCTTCCTAGTGAGCAAAATGTTAAATACCACCTATTTAAAGTACAAAATTATTATGCCTGGTGTGCTCAAATACAATCATTTTACATTTTTTCACTCAGAAAAAGTACACTTTTGTAATGACTACTCACTTTATTTCTGAATTTTGTCTACTCAATTCCATATGAAACAAATACAATTGAATTGATCATGTTCTCATCACAAAAATGATAATGCAATGAAATGAAATCTAGCTAATTAGCTAGATTTTTTTATTTCATAATGTATATAAACTTCAAAGCATATGGACAACATATATGTTTTTATATATATATATATATATATATATATATATATATATATATAATTCAACATAAGAAGCCATTTTAAAATATTTTTTATAGTGTATGCTTTAGTTTATATCTTAAATGTTCCTCAATGGCTCATGCATTAAAGGCTGTGACTTAGGATGCCCTGTAACTTTAAATGGTGACATCAGAAGTTAGATATTAGCAGAAGTGCCTTAAAGGGGATATGTAATTCTAAAACCCTCCACTTTTTCTCTTTGCTTTTTAGATGCCATGAACTGAACATACCTCTCTGCCACATGTTTTTCCAAGGTGTATTGCACCACCACAGCCCCATATCAACAGAGCCAATTGAATATGGACTGAAATCTTTGATGCTATCAACTGATGTAAGACTCTAATTTTTAACTACATTTTTAACGTAAATATTTTGTCACAATGATGGAAACTGGCAAACAGTGTATTTGAATAAAATACAAATGGAAGGAAGCCGTTGGTCTTAAAATGAGTAATTATAACCCTGTGAATGTGTAATGAAACATTACATATTACTAAATGCATAAAGCATTATAATATATTTATTATGTAACTTATATGTATTACTTGATTTTATTATATGTCACATAGGAGTTAGCTAACGTTATGATTATCTATCCTTTCCCAGTAATCACACATATAATAATCCTGGACTGCTCCTTGAAGAGATACTTACTTCCTACAATACCAAATGACTGTCATGGAAATATATGCAAACCAAAAATTCCAAATCCTGTATGGTGAACTATGCCCTTTATTCAGCTCACACAGGTTGAAATAATATCTTCCTGCTTTCCTACAATCCAGGGCCAGCAATTAGAGAATTTCTACATACCAAAGCCCTGGGCTTGTTTCACATGGAACAATCCTTCATCCAGTGCCCCTGCCTCGTCTCATCTTCACTTTCTCAAAAAAATCACAGTAAATTTTCTTATCCATGACTTTGTCATCACTTATTCTGCTACTTTACTAAGCCTGGTACTTTCTTGTGCAGTTCTCCAGAGATTACAGTTCTCCTTTTTCTTTTGAATACTATTTATTCAATACCATTAATTTCCTTAACTACTGACCTCATCAAAGCTGAATAAATTCTCCATTTTAAATACATAAATGTTTAAGTGTGTTTCTGTATTTGATCTATGTGTCTAATAACAAGGATTTTGTGGTATAATTCAACAATTTTATCATTTCTGACTTCTGTGCTGATAAAATATTGTCTATACTGAACAAATAGTTTTACAAAATACATTAACTTATTTATATTACTTTGGCCTCCTAAAATATCAGTTAACAGTATTAAAAATAATTCAAATCAGTTTTAAAAACATAAAATTTAAAGTACTGAAATTTACTAATGCAACATGAAAAGCACTTTTTACTAAAACTGTCAGTAGACTTTTTTCTGGAACTATTTGTAAGGTTTTTATTAAAGGAATTTAAAATTAAGAAGAAAAACATATAACCTCACACTTAGTTTTCAAAAGGCCACATTTTAAACCTGCTTGAAAACTAAAATATTGCTAAATAAACAAGGTTTTATTATTTTATAGTTCTTCATTTTGAACAAGAAGTTTATTGAAGAAACAAGGCGCTTGACTTAAAGGGAAAAATATTGAAGAATCTTTTTTTAAGAGTGATGTACAGCTACGTATGTAGCTGATTGTTGCAGCTCATACAGAAAAGTCATAAAATTGTCCTTGCTTTACAGTGATAAATGAGAAACTTGAAATTCTGCAGTCAAACAAGATATGCCAGAATGTTTATGCTTTTTGTCTCTTCTGCTAAAATTTTGAGGGCAAAATAACTTACTTAAAATACAGTATGCAATTATATCAAAGCACTTAAGCTTTTATTGAAGTTTCCTGGGAAGTCTTATATATTCACAAGGAAATGTTGTATCTGTTGTATTTGTTATACAAAAAGAAATGATATTTTGACATGTTAAAGAAATTATGCTGTCTGTTTTCACCCTTTATCACTTGGCTTCCCTTGATTTCTATATCAGATTTTGAGGTAGACCAGTTTAGTTTCTAGTGTTTCTTAGCAGTGTGGAGATTATATGTTGTACAGAAGTCAGGTATACCTAATGAGTATAGAGAAGGAAAAAGGAGAAATGTTTTTTCCAGACTAGAGAAGTATGGGGAATGGGCAGAATGTCACAATAATGAGCAAGGGGTTGAGTCTTCTATATTCTAAGCCACGTCCTTAGAAATGAGAAAATGAGAATAAGATAAGGGAAACCACTGAATTGGTAGATTTTACTCCATGTTGTCTTTTTGGGAAATTCTGGGACCATGAGTTCCCAAGATAATAGCTTTGCCATCACGTGAAAGAAACACATTTAGTGGCCAGATGGATCATGTATCTTCAAATCCCTGAGGATCCTGAAGATGGTAAGTTTCTGGATACAAAAGTGGAATCTCCAGTTTGTCCTGTTGCCACGGGTCATATAATAGTACTTTTCCTTGTCTTTGACCGGGCTGATACATAATGAAACAGTGACATTTAGCTTGCATGTGTTCATAATGAGAACACTGTAGGACCTCTGACACTGTTTTGATATGAACAGATCATTTCTACATCTATTTTTTTTAAAATTTTATTTAAGGAGAAAAAGAAAAAAAAAGCAAAGAAAGGGTACAAGTTATACAGAATTTCAGAAAAATAATAAACAGTAGGAAATCACTAGTTAATGAATTACATATTGTCATCTTAGAAATATTTGTTCAAGTTACAAAATTAAAGCTTATATAGTGGACATTCAAACAGTGAGACCAAATAGTTCTGTTCAATGATCCAACAAAACTCAGTAATATCATTGTCTATCTTATACACTTAAATATACATGCAGTTATATCGTTTAGAGCACTTTCTTTTCCTCTCTATTGTACAATGACTATTACACATTTTGGGTTTTATTGCTCCCACAGTTCTTATTACATTTTTTGGAAGAGAGTAAAACCAAATGTGACATAAAAGAAGAGAGTCAGTCAAATCAAAAGGGTGAACATAATAGATAATGTAAAAACATAATACAAGGTGATCAACAATGGTTACCATAATGCCTCCCGCTATCTCTAATAGAATTGCCTATATCATCAATTATAATAAAATTGAACAAAATAGTAAAGAACGAAACCAACAAAACCAAAACATTGGAGACATTACAGGTCTTCAAAAGTAGATAATAGTCAACCAGAATGGGCGTCATAATGAATCCCACTATCTTCATAGTTGTTGCCTATACTTTCGAACCTCATACTATCAAGCAAAACAGAATAGAGGAACATCAGTCAAAACAAGATGGTGAGAGCAATACAGGGCTTCAAATCAAGTTAATAGTAAATCAAAGTGGATTACTATAATATATCCTGCTATTTTTTAGTTTATTTTTCCCTTAATTAAAAGGATAAAAATAAAAAAGTAAATAATAAAATAGAGATTGAGATAAAAGAGGGCATAACAACAAAACAGCGCAGAAAAAAACATAACCATTTAAGCAAAATAGTGTTTTACCACAAGATAATCCTGACATAAATGTAGTTACCATATTGTCTCTTTCCTTGAAATCTTTGAGTATAACTTCATATACTGTAGCATCAAATATATCAAAACAATGTAAAACCATTCAAGAGAATGACAGTATTACAGGGTATTTAGAATCAACTAACAGAAAATGAACAACAGTTTCTGTATAATCTCCTTGTCTATAAAGGTTTTTGTTTATACTATCACATATAATAAAATCCAATAAGATACAACATGCTAAGACCAATGGAGACAGAAGAGCAAAAGCTTGATGAGACTTCAAAACAAGATGATACTAAATCAGCATTACCTATTATGATGTTGTTTTCTCCAAAATAGCTGTTCCTATCATCCAGTCTTCTCTGCCTCATTTCTGTTGAGCTCTTTTTCTGTCATTTGTTGTAAGTTTGTCTTCTTCATTTCGCTTTCTGCTCCATTCATTGTGGCCTCTCTGCCACTATTTCTGGAATCTTGGTATTTTCCTTTTTTAGAATATCCTGAAGTATTCTCTGTAAAGTTGGATTGGTGGTTGCATATTCCCCTAGTTCCTCTTTATCCTGGAAGCACCTTGTTTTTCCATCAATTTCCAGGGATAGTTGTGCAGGACATTTCAATCTTGGCTGGAGGTTATTATCTTTCAAAGCTTGAATTATTTCCCCCCACACTCTTCGTGATTTGATGGTTTGTGCCGAGAAATCTGATGTAATTCTGATGGGTGTACCCTTGTAAGTGATCTGTTTCTTGTCTCTGACAGCTTTTAATATTCTGTTCTTATATTGGATTTCTGGTATTTTGATTATTATATGCCTGGGTGTAGCTCTGTTTGGGTTGTAGGTGGCTGGGGTCCTGAATGCTTCATACATCTGAGTATCTTTACCTTTTGCTAAATTAGGAAAATTCTTCTGGATTATTTCTGTGAGTAGCTTTTGTAGTTCATGTCGCCGTCTCTCTACATCTTTTTTCTGAAGAAGCAAGTTTAATCATTCTGATGAAGGGAACTACATCTACCAACCATTTGAAAACAGCTACATTAAACATCCTAATTACATATAATTTTTTTAGTCAAGTAATATCTAATGTGCAGTGAAATCAATCTTTTCCAATTCATCATAGTTTACAACACTCAAACACAAAAAATGGAGGACATGAAAAGCTATGAAGTCACTGAAAACAAGTGGATACTTTGAGATTTAATGGAGGTTAATTTGAAAATGATGTTTCTTGAAAACACAATAATGCAATCAGATGCAAGAAATAAGTTGGTAAAATTTCTATATAGTTTTATAAATCTAATTTTCTATGATTTTTCCAGTTAAAATTAAAAACTAGACCTTTACCCTCCTAATCCATTTTCTAGGTTTCTTTTCTTCCTTTCTAGTTTTGTATTGAGACTGCTTACTTTTAGTGTTTACTTTAATAAGTTTTATATATTCCTGAAAATGATTTACTAAATCTATGAAACCCAAGAGGTTGACAAATATTTCATTATACTAAAAATTATTGTAATAATTTTTACTCGTCAATAAATTATTACCAAGTAGACAAAATGTATTATTAGGATATCCCAGGGCTTACATAAAAATGATAGCAATTTTATATACATAAAATTTAAATAAGCTTAATAAAATACTGTTTAAATCAAAGAACATGCTATTTGACCACAATGACTTCCAAAATAAAGTCTGACTACAGGAGCTTTGTTCATCTGTTAAGAATCATTTATATATAAAACATATATTAATATGTTTTAAATCAAGTAAAAATATAGATATATGATTATTTGAGATGATGTGTTTATTTTATTAAAAGTTTTAGAGACTATCCTTTTTTATTAAAAAGTATATATGTGTATAATAGAGAAGAACATTTTCTAGAGTCACTGGTTAAACAGCCTCAAAGTTAGTTTGCTATTTTGGTTTATTTTTAAAAATATGATCTAGGAACCATCATCCTGTGCTTATTTACAATGCACAGTACTAAATCTACAATGAGTCTTCTCAAAATAAATATGCATTTTAATAGAAGCTGCGGGTAATTTTAGATACTTTAATGGGTTGGTGAAGCAATTTGAGATTTAATCTGCCTACTTACAATTTAAAAAAAAAATTTAAAAAGTTGTTAATAATTAAATGTAACTATCAAGAAAAAGTGTTCAGAATAACATGATACTGGTGAAAGAGGAAGTGTCATGGTGTATGTTGTGTCCCCCAGGCCTCATGAGTTTGCATCGTGCATTTGTGATTGGTTCATCGTCTAGTGCTTGGATTGATGGTCTGAGTGCTCCACCCACAGAGGGGTGGAGCCAGGATGTGATGTAATGACAGGAAGACGGTGTGTCAGGCTCTTTTGCTGGTTTCAGCCTTGCTGTTTGCAGCCTCCATGAACTGCGGCTATGCCATGCCACCCTGCCTTGGAGCCAACTGAGTATGGACTGAAACCACCAAAAACTGTAAAAAAAAAATCTTTCCTTTCCCACTTTGTGGGATATTTTGTCTCAGCAATGAGTAAAAAGTAACCAAGACAATAAGCAAAGAGATAAATGAATGCAATAGTGAGCCCATAAATAGCAACACAGAAATATAATCAACTGTGTATTGGTAAAACACATACAAAGTAGGTAGACTTAAATAAATGACCATGAAAATACTGGACATCTGGTTGTAAAACAAATTAATGTAGATATAAACTTTATAAACTTCACAAAAAGTAACTCAAAGTGGACCATGTTCTTAAAAATAGACTTCAAAACTGTAAAACTCATGGAGGATAACCTAAAAGAAAGCCTAGGTGACTTTTTGATGATATCTCTAATAACAAAGATATTAAAAAATAGTTGAAAACACTCACTTTATTAAAACTGAAAGCTCCAGCCATGCAAAAGACAACAATAAGAAAATGAAGCCACAACTCCACAGACTGAGAGAAAATGTTTCTTCAGTAAACCTCTAATGAAAGCAATATTCCAAAATGTGCAAGCACTCCTTTATAATAACAGTAAGAAAAAAATTCTGATTGCAAAAATAGGCAAAAGATTTGAGCAAAAGTCTCAACAAACACAATGATAAATGACAACATGCATTTAAAAATGCTTATAGTCACATGTTTGGAAGAGCTCTAAGATTCCCATCACCTTTGGTTGTCGGTTTCTACTTTCTTCAGCCTTCCAGTGCAGACTTACACAGATGTCACGCTAGTCAGTTTCCAGGCTTTTGATCTTGGACTGGTGCTGTGTCCTTGATCCTTCTTGTCCATCATCCTGGGTTGAACAACTTCTGTATCTTCCAGTTCTCCCTCACACAGATAATCACTGTGGACTTTTCTGCTTCTCATTCTGTAACCTTACTAAAAAAATCCTCTTGAATAAATGTTTGTATTTTCTACTTATGTTGTTCCTCTGGAGTACTCAAACAAATATGTCAACATACTAATTCCAACTCTATGACTTTGTGGAATACTGAAATCTGCAAGGACAGTAAAATGATTAATGGTTTTCAGAAATGATTAGAGCTTGAGGGAGAGGGATACTTAGCCAGCAAAGGATATTTAGGGTGATAAAATATTGAGTTCTGATGAAGTGTATATGGTCATATATTGTCTTAATCTTTAGAATATACAACTTCCAGAATGAATTCAAAAGTAAGTTGTAGATATAGTAATAATGGTTTATATACATAGTTTCATAAACATCTACAGATATAATGCTCTGGTGAGGCATATTAATAGTATAAAGATTGTATAAATATGATGAGAAAAGTTTTCAAGAATTTGTAACTTTCATTTAATTTTTGTGTTTTTCTAAGACATAGTTTATTAAAATTGATTACAAAAATATCTTGTTAATTAAGATAAATACAAACAAGTTAATGTGTTTGTATATTTACAAATGTGCATATGTATGCACAAAGTCTTTATAAAATGATTAAATTCATCATGAGGAGGTGATACATGTAAAAGACTCAATTAGTTATTTTTTTACTATTGATTTCTCTGCTTCCCCCCTTCAATCTTTTGTTTTGTAGATTCAGTCTTATCCAAATTTTTCTGTAACACATTTGGGAAGTGACTGGAAGTTCATTTAAATTTTACAGTATTAAAATAAATATTTTTAGGCTGATTCTCCATGAATTTCTCCTAACTCTAAAAATATGCTAGGCAAAGTGTGAATGCTGAAGAAAAAAAGGGCAAAGTATAAAATCTAGTGCCTTTAATGGACCTTGGATGCAATTCCTTGTTAAATGTTTTCTACTAACTTCAAACTCCCGAAGGGAGAACAAATGCCATAAGGCCATGAGTACCATAAAACAAAATGACGAACACTGTAGTCATTCTTCAGGGTTCATTTTTGAGAATGCAAAACTAGTGATTATTGTAAGAACTGGCAGCACTCTTAAAGTAAATGCAATAACCAAACTACACTCGGTGCTGTCACATACATTTAATCAGAGGACACTGCAGTCTATATACCATTGAAGAGTCCATTTATCTATTCAGTTATTCTGGATTCATTTTTGTCAAGAAATTTTTTATCATTGAAATTTTATACTTAGAATATATTTAAAAATGTAGAATTTTAAAACTTTCTAACATTTTTCTACTGATGATGTTTCATTGTGATATTTATTATTACCTTCTGGGTTTCCTACTACAAAGTACAAAATTGACCTTGTTGAATAGTTGATATTATTTTATTAATAGTTATGCATTGATTGCACAATTTATGTAACTGGTCAATAATTTGCTATTCTTTTTGAAGAATACACACTATATACAAAGTAAAAACCTGCATAAACATCCCATGACTTTATAAGTTATACTTTAGGTCCCAAAATATTCATAAATATATTTTTGTATTTTTATAGCAATATAATATTTACTTCTGTATGTTATAATGATATTTTATATTTAGAAAAATTATATTTGCTGTTTATAGTTACTGCAAATGATTAAATTATTTTATAGGTGTAAAAATTCAGGTAAATACAGACTACTGCACCCTTGAAAATTGGTCAACTGTGTACTCAAAGAGGGTTTCAATCACATTAAATAGTCTAAATTTATTTAAGTATGATATTTTGATATTCTGTTCCTCACCATAATCAAAGACTCTAAAGTCAAAATCAACCAAATTATCAATTCAAAGCAAAACTACACTATTTCCAAGTATAAAGTCAAAATTAGTAGATAGCAGTGAAGATTTTTGTAATCGTATATTATTACATTCTAAAAATTAATGTTTTTTCTAACCAAATGTCTTGTTTCTCTAGAAAGAAAAAAAGAAAAAGAAAAAAGTATGTGGCACTGGTTAGAGAAAAAGAGATATAACATTTCAGAGGCAGTTTAAGTAGCTCAAGATCAATAACTAGTATTCCCAAATAAGTTGCTTTATGTTAGACTTTTCCCTGCATTAGACATTGCTGACGCTCTACTTCAAACCAAGGGAAAAACAGAAATATAAGAGTAGTCTTTAACATGGGGATGATAATAAATGCATTGCTTATAGGTCAGTGAGTTGACAATATTATCCTGAAGATCAGTAAATCTATTGTATCTTTCCACATTAATTACTACACAGTCATATCCATGAACTGTTCCATTAAAAGAACAGATGAAGAAAAGTGAATGCAAGCAAATTATACATTCTCCATATAATTTTACTCTAGTGACACCTGGTAAAATACACACACACACACACACACACACACACACACACACACACACACACACAAATGCTAACAATGTGAAGACAAAAAAAATAGCAGGACATACTTGGCAAATGTGTGGCTTGTGTGTGTTTCTGTGTGTTGTACTGTTGGCTGCAGTTAAAAGAATGCATAAAGGAGAGAGAAATTTCCTTACAAAAATCATGTTATAATTTTGAATTTTAGATAAAAGGTGATCAAAGTAGTATAGTATATCATGTATCTTCACCATCAAAGGAAGACTACGCATTGCTCAACTTTTTAATTAAAGTTTATAAAACTGTATAATAGGCTAGTAACCAAAAATATCAAAAGGTTATAAGCTATAAGGTCATTCAAAAGAATATGGAGTTTTCTCAATCTAGAGTGCGTTTCATGCTAATCAGTAAAACATGCTACCTAGAATGTCATTTAATTACAATGAAATATTCAGTAGCTATTTAAAATATATGGTAAGATTTACAGACAATGATCAAAGAAAAGTTTCACTTTTGGCAAAAAATTTAATAATGTTTTGTTAATATCTTATTAAAAGTATAATTTGATCCTTTTTTGATTTATCACTTAAAACTTTGCATTTGAAAACATTTGCTTTGCTTTGAATTATTAAGATTTTGCTATTTGTGTTTAGTGAAGATAACTTGTCTTATTCATAAAATCAACAAAAAAATTTTGAAAATTGTGTTGTAGCTCTGCATTTAACATCTCTACAGAGGAATACAATTGAATATAAATATCCAATGAATATAATTGAAAAACAAAATTCATTTTATTATTCCCTGTGGATCCCTCAAATTGTTTATTAATTTTAGTGTACATAATATAATAAAAAAATAAGGTATACATTTAAATTTGTAAAACTATCACTGTAAAAAGCACATAAACATTAATTCCCATTAAACTCTCTCCTTTCCTTTAAACATATTTCTTCCACCATTCTCGTCACTTTCTGAAGCAGTTCTTAGTTTTTAGTGAGTGTTTTGTTAAATCTGTTTCCAAGTTTCACCTACTCTGAAAAATTGGAACTATTTTATGTTTGTTTCTTTATTTTACTTTATTCAAAATTTTAGATTTTAAAGAGAATTTTAAAATATTTTCAGGATTATCTGTAAATTGGAGTTTGTGGCTTAAGGTATAAAACATAATTACTGGGTTCAGACTGACTTTTTTCTTCAAATTAGTGACTCTACTGACAGTATAAATTAACTAACTTCTCCAATATACTATTTGTCTCGTGTAATTTTAAAAATATATAATCACAATGATAATTTGTCATCTGTTAGCTTGTAGACAAACTGGGCACATGTGAAAAATTAAAGAACTGCTAGATCTTGTTAGTAAGTGACAAATGGTCAATTTTTTTAACAACTCAGATTCAATATATCGTGCAGTGGATCGAGCCCTCTGTTTGGCAAATAATTTTTCTTTCACTGCTTCCAACATTAATTGTTATATTCTTCTTTCTTTTTAGTGTCCAAACTTCCACTGTTGCTCTGATAAACTTTATTTCTAAGCTAGTGAGTAAACTGTCCATGCAATACTTGTTCAAAGAATACAAAATAGAAAAATATAAAGGAAAATATTTCCTCTGATAATTATTTCTTGGCAGCACAAAGGCATATGATATTAGATAAGGTGCTTATACATTAAAATTTCCACATTTCTAATAAACTGTCATAATTTATATAAGAAATTATGCTCCCATTTCCCAGCTATAGCTCTTTGAACTGACTTTTCAAACTTGACAGGAGAATTCAGCAAGAAAATATTCTATCATGCGTTTATGTTAGAAATGACTGGATGAAAAAATTTAATGATAGATGACAGTGAACTGTAAAACTTTTGTGTCATAAAACTAGTGAAACATGAAATTACCCAAATCAATTGCTTAAATAACTTAATAACTTGAAAATTTGAAATTTATTCATAGATGGAGGACAAAGAGGAATTACAATATATCAATAAAAGGTCACTGGAAAGTCTTCATTTTAAGGATTTGCCCTCAAACTGTATTTCACCATTTCTTCTTAACTCTCAAATCTCTGTTAAAATTTACTGTTGTGACAAATTTTAATATTAAATTCATAGGTGAGCAAGCAGATATATTTTCTTTGGTAACAGGTCAAATGGCAGATGAAAAATTCAATACACTATTAAGAATAAGAAGATAGATTTCAGATAAACTCAATTAAAATAAAACTGATTAGAAATAAACACATATGGGGCCTGTGATCTTAATGATGAAAATGATTTATTTTACCAAATAATATTTGAAACTTCAAATATATATTGTTATTCCTTTTGCATTAGTAAGGCTTACATAATGATTTGAAAAAACTTTCTGAGGAGACAGCTACTCAAAGTGATTTAATTATGATTTTTAAGTTTGATCAAAAGTTATTTTTGTCTCCACAAAGAAGAAGAGTAATAAAAGTAGCTAAAGTGAGGGCATTGTAGTTAACTTCTATATGACACAATGTTTTAAAATCAATTCTTATTGAGCTATTCTTATTATTATATCCACTTCTATTGTCATTAATAAATATATGTCATATTTCTTGACAAAACCATGGTCCATTTAATCATTCAACATTGTTTACACACACACACATACACACACGTGCATGCACACATGCACACACGGACACAGGAGGCTCCAAACAGTGACATTGTGCAGACAACTACGGCACAGACTTGTTTAAGGACCCCTAGCAGCCCAGCAGAGACACATGTCACCACAAAGTGTAGGAATATTTGATATAGATATGTTCCTAAAACATTAAGATTTGATGGAGAAGACATATAATTAGGTGAGAGAGGCAAAAGAGGGCATTTTGTGTCTGTGGGGAAAACAAATTCAAAGAAATTTATAAGCTTCAGCAATGTATTATTATGCGGATTGAGGTTAGAGCAGAGATGAAGGATCCAACCTCTGAGGATGCTGAAGAAGGGTAAAGAAGGGAAGTAGTGAAACTTGAACTCTTGAGGAAGAGCTTGCAAACTGAAGGGGACTAAGCTTAATGATCTCCTTGAACTGTGCGAACTGAATGCCCTGGAATCCTATAACAATGGCAAGCCATGAGTGACACATTTAAGGGGATGGCAGGGATTCAGATGAGAATGACCTAGATCACATCTTTTCTTTATTTTACAAGGTATGCATGTAATGTGCGAATGTGCATTTCTGTATCTATAAATCAGTATTAATTTAAACCTGCTCATTAGTGTCTTAGTTACTGTTCTTGTTGCTGAGAGAAAATACTCAGCAGCCAAATAAAGGAGGAAACATACCTTTAGCCCACAGTTAAAAGATTTGAGTCTGTAATTGGCTGGCTCCAAGGGAGGTGTCATGTCAACAGGCACTGGGGAGGAAAAACAGTTCATGGAAGGGTTCAGGTAGAAAAGCAAGAAGGGACACCCATAGCTCTTTCTATCCCTTATATCTCATCCAGGACAAAATAGGATGAGTGGCACTCACACCCTTATTCCTAGTGCCCTAGCAATGCACCATGAATCAATTCCAGCATCCCGCACTCTAGATCCAGTCACCTAAAAGCCCCACCAATGACTGCGTGAGAGCTGGGAAGGCATCTTTACACAAGCCAAAATTAAATTTAAATTTGTTCATTTGATAGGTTCTTTAGTAAAGGAGAGGTGATATTATGCATTAAAAGTGGTGCTATAGTTTCAAAATGAGGAATTCTATCCCAATTAATTAACAATTTGATGCTTAGAAAATAATTTATCAGTCTTAGTATTTCATTCTTCATAGTTGTGTAAGATTTACGCTACTTGTCTAAGGTTACCAAAAATGCATAGAAAAATATAATTTAGTATAAATCTACCTTAGAAAAGTGTAAATATATTCAATGAAAACAAGATTCTTTGGTTAATACATAGTGGGACCAATATATAGGGCAAAGGTTTAAACTGTGTAAAAACTTACACTGTCTGAATTTCATCTCCACTGAAAATGTTTTTTTTTCAATCATCACCTTCTGCCTTTGTTTTACTAAAAGAATTTCTAAATGATCTCCTTGATTTTAACAAATCACACGTGCTAAAATTCATCCTTTATGCAATGGAATAACACATTTTAAATGTTATATTTTCAAATGTGTCAAAAATAGGAACAATATTATATTGCCCTTACAAAGTATATTCAAATGCTCACCTAAGGCATAGGCCCGTCCATGAGCTGTGCTGGCCCATTTATTTGATCTTGTCCACTATTCTACTCATAATCACTTAATGCTACTCAAGTTGTACTGGTTTCCATGGTGTTCCTCATTCAGGCCAGCCCTATTAATGATTCAGGTCCCCTATACCTTCCTCTTTCAGCTAGGAACTTTAATGATATCATTGTATTTCTGTTCCTTTTCAGCAGATTTCTCAGTTTAAAATTCAGTTTATCACAGATGTCTTCCTTCATCATATCACCTAAAGCTAAGGTTAACTTTATTGTTGTTGATGCATTTCTGAGTTAAATTATTTTTTCTTGCTTTTTCTGCATGCTCTATCTCAAATTTAATACTTGGAAACAGGGTTGTTTTCTTCATTTGCCGCCTATTTGTGCCACTTAAAATAGAAGCTGACACACAGCAGATGACACAATGTATGGAATTGAAATTAGTTTGGTATGAGAGTTTCTTCAGCAATTAGAGAAAACATTGTAACTACTGTCTAGATAAAATGAAAACATAGAGATATCTAGAAATGATACCGATTGTAAAAATATCTCCTAAACTAGAAAAATAAATTATTTATAAAATTTTTACAACAGGTCTATATCACTTACATGTGAAATAAGCACTACTTATTAGAAAATAAAGTTTGATTAATTTTTTTTCAGAATCTAATAACTGCCAAGCACAACTGTTAATGTTGCAAAATAAATATACTGTAAAAAATTACATATGAACCACTGTGGAGAGATTGGAATATAAGTAAGTAAATATTAAGTCTGAGAACAGAGGTGTGAACCTCACAGAGCAGAGGTATGGACTGAAACCATGCATCACATATGAGGACATAACTCAGAAAGAGTTAATTTTACACATTTTAATTTTTTGTGTCGTAAGCATTTGAAAGCCACTGCACATTTCACAACTATAATGCATTCTAATTTAGACTATATACCTCTTAAATGTTCATTAGAGTTAAGTGCAGTACAGACCTGTAATTTCAGCCTTCTCCGAGTGTAAGCAGGATGATTTCAAGTATGATCCCAGCCTGGGCAGCTTAACGACTTACTGATACCATGTCTAATATACCCACATGCACACACAGGCACATGTGCGCGTGCGCACACACACACACACACACACGCAAGTAAATGATTACAGTCACCTAAGGTTGTAAAGCTCAATTCAAAAGCCCAGAATTCCATGTCTAGTATGGAAAAAAGAAAAAGAAAGTATTCAGCACAAACATGTTCCTACAATCATATCATACCAGCTTATTCCAAGCAAGAGTCTGTCTCTTTGGTCTTGTAATCAGATTGTAAATGACTGGCTCGCTTTTCCATGTATTGAGTTCTGCTCACTTTGCAGCAAATTGAAGTTCCTCAATCACATGTCTTGTATGTATAAATGATGGCAAATGACATAAATGAAAATGTGAGCCAGCAATGAAATATTCTGCAGATCATCAAAAGTTGTGAGTCAAATGTTAGGATTCCTTTAAATGTGCATGTCAGAACAAGAGATCCAGAAAATAAATATATTATAAAGAAAAAATACAGAGGTAGGGATACTAGAAACAAAATACATATCCATATACATACATGGCACATATAGGTGAGAGAGATGTTAAAGAACTAAATTAACAATCTTGTGGGCTGTCATGGTCTCACAACTTCAGAACTGTATAGAGTGATAGAAAGTTGGTATTAACTGTGATGAAGAGTATATTACAGAGAAAAACTGAATTAAATTAATAAGTAGTTTACCAAAGTCAACCGTAAGAATTGAAACTACTTTATAAGTTAACATTTCAAGGCCCTGATACTTTAGTGTTCATAATTCACTTTTTTAAAAAGGTCAATTGGAGCAATTCTGATGCACAGAAAACTCTCACATCTAAAATTTTATCAAAGTAAAATAGCATCTTCATAGTACCAAATATATTATTAATACATTCAGTATTATGGTTGTATTAATTTAACTTTATAATTATATCTACTAGTTTAATCATTAGACACAACTTAATTGTAATTTTACGCACCACTCTTATTACAAATTCATACTTTGTTTTTATTTTTTACCCTAACTAAAATTTATGATTTAGTCTAGCACAAGTCACACCATTCTAACCCATATTCTAATCAACCCATGTGCAATTTTCAGAAACAAGTTATAGCACAATTCATATTGTATTAGGCCATCTTAAAATAGGCTTATTATCTGAACTGCCGGGATTCAATTTAGCTGTAAGGTCATATAATGAACATGAGGCTAGTAATGATTCATTTTCTTCCATAATTTAATAATATTAACTTAGTAGCTTGAAAAATGAATCAACAAAGTCCTATGAATAGATTAACAGTGTTTAAAAATGTAAAGCAATGATAAAATATAGGTTATTTCACTGAAATTGTTAACAAAATTCACTCCAAAATTTATGGAAGCAAAGTAGTATTTTATTGTTAATTGCTATAATATGGGATTAATTAGGCACCTCCAGAAATGTATTAAAACTCTAGGGTACCATCTGGTAAATTAGCACTTTAGTACATCAAAGGGTACCTAAATCATTATAGTGCTCACTTCCTTCTTATGCTAACCCTGAACTTTTCAACTATTAAGGATAAAGATTGCTCAGGGCATTTAAATTTGGAATATGAAGTAAGAGACTATGACTGACAGTGTTTGATGGATTCCTGGGAGGCAAGTGGACCTTCTCTTTCCTGATAACTCAGACATGAAACATGTAAAAATCATATGGATGAGACTAGAAACCTCTTCCACGTGGCCTATGCAGCAGTTTCTCTTCTTATCCTATTCTTTACCTTTACTATTTGATAGTGTGCAATCTACTACAATCTAATAGAAGTAATAATCTAGCTAAGTGCTCATATGTTTATCATTCTTAAACAACATATTCAATTTTATATATTGTGCAGCATTATTGTACACTTGCATAATTAGCTTTATTAATTTGATAATGTTTGCATTCATATTTGTATTGATTAAATTTTTATATTAATGTTTAATAATTAAATGCATGCTCATATGGCACATATTCAGTATATGCAATAAATATTTTTAAGTTGCACATTATTATATAGAAAACTTTCAGGAAATCTACATCCTAGTCCTTGTGACCCTTTCTATACTTATAATGGTTGTTCGTTTAGTGCATGTGTCTGCAAAAGTTTGTCTGTGCTCTAAAGATATATCATATACCTGCATGCATAAAAAGTGTATTTCTTAAGTGCATAGACATTAATAGGCATAGACAAATGTTACATATGCTATGCATAAGTGTGCATATTTATCATCATGCCTAGATTTGTCTTCCATATCAAAATAATATTCTTTGGTGCCATTCTTAGTATTTTAAGAGAAGCAAAATGTTTCATAGTGGTAAGCAATTCTTTGTTTTTTCACAGATTTACAGTTTTATGTCAGTTTTGTTCTCTTTGATGTAGCTAATACAAACAATAAAATGAATATTAACTCACATGACATGATATTTACAGGCTGTGCATTTTCAGGAAAGTGAAAACCACATCAATATAAAATATCCAAATACTTAAGTTATTTTCCCAGTATGTTTATAGCCACCTTCAGAATGGCATTATGAGTACCTGACAATGTGTCACATACTTTCACATTCATTACTAGAAAAAAAGACAATCATATATAGTGAGAAATTATATTAAATATTATTTTCAAGTTAGCTATGGTGGCATTACATTCCCACACTTAAAGAGTGGATTGCACAACATTTATGTCACCCACTCTGTTCTTCTTCCATAGCTCCGAAGGAGCTTATGAAACACAATACCTGGGGCGGGGAGTAAAATTTTTACTACCAGGAAAGAGATGAAAGAATGGCTATTAGACAATCAACTGGATGTGTCTGCCATACATTTTATATTCTCTGAATCAGTTTACCAAATGTGATAAATGATGTTTACAAAAATATCATTTTGTATTTCTTCTATGATTTTCTAGAGAATTTCTAGAATTCTAGAGAAATTCTAGAGAATTTCTGGAGAATAGTTGCAAAGAAAAAGAGGGCTGTATTATGGAATTCAATAAAAACATACAAATATTCCATTGACTTTCATCATATGTTGCAACTTTCTATCACTGTGACAAAATACCTGACAGAGACAACTCAAAGAAATAAAATTTTTATCTTATGGCTTTGGAGGTTTTAATCCATACTCATTTGGCTAATCTTTTTCTGGGTGTATGGGGAGGCAGAGCGCCATGGAAGGGCATGTATAAGGAGCAAAGCCACTAACCTTATGGCGGTAAGCTGGGGGATGTATCAGGGTCCATTATATCCTCAGTGGCCTATTTCCATCAGTCCTCAAATTCTAAAGCTTCCATCACCTTTCAACAATACTTTATGGTGGGAACATGTCTTTAGAACATAAACTTTTCTGAGGCATTCTAAATCCAAACTATGTCACATGTAACACATAAATATTTGCACATTGATGATTACAGGATGCATTGCTTAATGGCAATGAAAGAGCTAGCTAAAATTATGTCACATTAACAAGCAATTAAAAGAAATTGTCATAAACCAAGTGGATAATTTTATCAGCCTGTAGTTATACACATGACCAGCATAGCACTTAATGCAGGGAGACGAGCCCAAATTTTCAATGTTATTTGAAAGGTAATAAAAATGAATTTAGTATGTGTCAACTGGTAATTTGATTCTTTTTCATTTTTGAGGAACAGCTCTTTTTATCTTATATTTTTATCAATTTGGGATAATTTTGAATTCAGGGATAAATATGAACACACATATATGATATGTAAGCTAGCATATCTATTACCTATCTATAGGTAAATATATATGTATATGTATAAATATATATAGTATATATATAAATACATATATATATATATATATATATATATATATATATATATATACAGAGATGGAGAGAGACAGAGAGAGATCACTTACTTTCCTAATTAGCAACAAGTTTTTCAAATCTTTTTAAAATAGTGGTTGAAAAATTAATAAATTCTAATCTATGCTTCTTTCCTATTGTGACTCTAAATTTTATTCAGAAGAGGATTAAATAACTGAATATCTTAAATATATTTTCATGTATTCATTTTTTTCTTGTTGCTTATTCACTATTTGAATTATGTTGGGAAATTGTTTCTCAAGAATCATTATTTCGGGGCTGCGGATTTAGCTCAGCGGCATAAGCGCCTGCCTTGCAAGCAGGCAGTCATGAGTTCGATCCCTGGTACAGATAAAAACGAAAAAGACAAAAAAAAAAAAAAAAAAAGAAAAGAAAAAAGAAAATAATCGTTTCTCACATTTTGAACTTTTTATGCATAATTCATTGATCTACTATATGTGAATAACAATAAATGATTTAACTGTCTAAGGCTGGAGAAAGCTACTTTTTTTCAAGTGGTTGCCAACTACCCAAAACCATTCATTACATGGTTCTTCCTGATTTTAAAGACAATTACAACAATCAATTGGACAAAACTTTTACTCATGAATAATCCATTGCTATAGAAATTAGCATATTGTCATAAATAATAGAAAAGTTTATAAAACAGAGCTCTAGTTTTCAAGTTGTGTTTAGGATGAAGGAAAGGATGCAAATTTCTAAGAGAACAGAACAACTAGTACATCACGTGGAAGTGGATTTGAAGATATAGTGCAAGAGTACAAAATTCAAATATCCAAGGAAATTAAAAGGACAGAATATGGTAAAAATATCCTAAAAGTAAGTGACAAGGAGCTAAACAGTCAATTTTTTTTTCTAAATGAGAAAAGCACTTAAAAAGATATATTGACCAAAGTGATGTAAGAATGAGTAAAAATTTTAGAGTTCAATATTGCCTGTTACTAATACGATTCAAATTAAATCCACAGTGAAGTAGCACTATGTATAATCGACAATTGCCACAATTAAAGAGGCTAGTAATTCCAAGTGTTTCTAGTGAGTTAGAGCTATCAGATCTGGTGGATGATTTGAATAACTGTACAATCATTCTAGAAATTATTGTGGTAATTTATACACATAAAAATACACTAATGAAATGATTCAGCAATTCCTTCAATAGGTACTTACCCTAATTAAACACTATGAGTGTGGACATTAGTTAAAAATTATGAGCTCAATCATCCAAACTGGCTTTATTCACCGTACTGAAAGTCAAACAAATGAAAAAGTACATTCAGCATAAATAAATATACAAATGTCACTAAATTCAAAATGAAAGCAAAATATTTACTCTGATTTTTACTTTTCAATACTGAAATGCAAATCCTAGATAATGTAAGAGGGTATGAAATACAATCTAAATGTGTAATTACTAGAAGGAAGAAATATTTTTATTCATAAATGATGTTGTTGGGTAGAAATCTCGCTCAAATCAATAACTACTCAATTGTATGGATATGGTACATTGTCTGCTAAGAATTACAAAAGCTTTGCTATAAGAATGAAACTAAACCTAATATGATGTGTTATAAAGCTCAGCATGTATGCAATTACAGAAAAGGTAAAACTACTGTGTAAAAGAGTAAATCAGTAATTTCGGAGCCTACTAGATTTCAAGATGCTCAATCTCATATAAGAAAAAAATGAATATTCTGAGTGTAGAAAGTTGATCTTGTCTCAATTATGGTGCATCACTATATATATATATATATATATATATATATATATATCTCCAAATTTAAATTGATAAGCTAGATTTTAACAGTTGACTCTTTATAAAAGTAAAAACAGAGAAATACAATGCTTAAAAATTTGCTTAATGTAAACTAAAACAAAAGTTTCCAGAATCCAACCATGAGACAGTGTTTTTATGAATATAAATATAAATAAAAATCATAAAAATACTCAAATTCATCATGATATCCATTCTTTCTAATTTAAATGTTTATTATAACTCAGATTACATTTAGATGCTGAATATTTAGGTGTTGACAAAGAGATTCAGAATTATAAAGAGAGCTGGAGATATGGCTCAGCTGTAGAGTTCTTGTCTCGTAATCACAAGGCCCTGGATTCTATCTCTGGCATTGCAAAAACGAAACAAAAACAAAAACAAAATTAAAAAGAAACACAAGAATCAGAATATCTAATACTATAGCACTACTTTAAAGAACAGCAAAGTTAGAGAGTGGACACTATCTGACTTAATTTATGCTACAAAACTATGATAATCAAAAAGTTTGATTTGGGGGGGTGGGGGAATAGAATTGGCAAATAGATCAATGGTACAAAAGGCTCAGACAGCTCATAAAAACATTCGCAAAGGTATAGTAAACTTATCTGAGAAAGATTGTCCTCACACACTGAGATGACTGATCATCTACATTAATATTTTAAGAAAGAAGAACACAATTGGCTGGGCTTGGTACACACCTGTAATCCTAGCACACAGGAGGCTGACACAGGAGGATTGTTGCAAGTTCAAGAACAGCCTGGGCTACAAAGTGAGCTCAGGGTCAACGTGAACTGCATAGCAAGACTCTGTCTCAAAAAGATGGGAAAAAAAACCACAGATGCCTTGTACATTTCAAGTAAATACATAAAATAGAAAAATATAAAATTCTTAGATGATTACATAAGAGAAATCTACAAGATAATGTGTTAGCTGAAATTATATACAATAAAAAGCATAATTTATAAATTAAAAATTCTATGTTGTGAAATCGAATATAATTCAAAAGTTCTGCTGTGTGACAAACCATGTGAAAATATAAATACAGGTCTGAATTTCTTTGAAAAAGGTTACTTAATATCTATAGTATTTGATAAATAACAATTTAATAAGTAACAAGAATAAAGAATAACTACTAGAAAAATTACAGCAATAATTTAATATTTTTATAAATGTAAGTATGTTCATTGAAAACCTTCTATTATCCAACTGTGGTGGCTCATGCCTATAATCCCAGCACTTGGGAGACAGAAGCAGGAAGATCGTTGTGAGTTCAAGATCATCTTGGGCTACACAGTGACCTCAAGGCCAGCCCAAACTTGTCTCAAAAAGACAAAAACAAAACAAAACTAAACCAACAAAACAAGAGGAAATCTTTCATTAGTTCATAGACTAAAGAGATCTGACTGACATGACTCCTAACCTGACAATATATAGATCAGTTAAAACTTCTAAACAGCGCACATTGGCACAGCTCATGTTCAATAATTCAAAACAGTATTTGATCCACTGAAAGTGACAATAGTATTCCTAATTTTATAATCTCATTTTATAGAGTAATGAAATAGTATAAAACTGTATAATTAAAAGAGGACTCCTATGATTTCACAAGAGATCGCTCATATTTCTGCTTCATGCTTGGGTTCAGTGGTTCTAGGTCGGATAATCTATGCCCATTTGTCTTGGTTTTGCTTGCTGACTTCTGTACATGCCAACTGCACATGTTTAATCACTGTGGAGAGTGGATCCTCTGCAATAAATCTTCATTGGACAAGTAGATCACCCAAAATAAATCATCTGTGGGTGAAACAACTCTGCTCACACATGAGCTGCTGGACAAGGAGCTTATCTGTCATAAACCACACAGATATAAGTGGCTTAAGCTTGATTTACTGCTTCTAACCATAACTATGGTTTTGCCTCACCTAAAATATACCATGATTTTACAAGAAGCACAGTTTTTGCAAAATAAAAAAGTGTTACCTCCTTAATATTGCCTTTGCAAACATATTTTCTAATATATCATGGCCAAAATAAAAACGTAAGATACTAGACTATTATGAGGTTATATTAATTTAGCAATATATAAGACATAAAAATTTGAAATTATTAAAGAGTAAATACAAAAAATTCCATACATTAATGTAATATTAAGTATATATTTCCTTTGTAAAGTTTCAGTGATAATAAACAGACATATGGATATTACGAAGGATAGGTTAGATGCTCATTAAGTACAAAATTACACTTGTCTGCTTGTCTGTTTTTTGTATAGGCATATGAAATATAATACACACTACATTATTCTTATTTTATGAGTTTGTAGCAAGGTATATAATCAGAAAACAGTATGATAATATTCAAACAGAACTATGTTGTCAATTATTAGAACAAACAGAAAAGTTGGACTGTGATAGACAGCAAAAACTCCCCCAAAATTGAACTTCATGAATATTCTAAAAGTTCAAAAGATACATTAGATGGACAATGGAAATAGGGACTTTATACAATAAGGATTAAAATTAGTGTTGGTGTTAGTGGACACTAAATATGAGAATCTGTAACTCTACACATTTGGACATGTGTGAAGTTATAAAATAATTTAAATCACTGAAAATTATTTTTTTTATCCTAGACCAAAAGGGCATCACTAGCATGAAGAGAGAGAGAGAGAGAGAGAGAGAGAGAGAGAGAGAGAGAGAGAGAGAGAGAGAGAGAAGAGAGAGAGAGAGAGAGAGAGAGACTCCTGTAACACTTATTGGTCTTTTCTGATCTTATTTTGTCTAAAATGTCACTATCTTAATTTGTGTTACATAGAAGTTGTTATCCTGCAAACCATACCATAAAACACATTTTGCCAAAACATTTTCTGTTAGAGTTGACAAAATATATAAATTTAATATCTGTGAAAATAAACTTGCAAACATTTTGCCAATGCTAGGAACCTATTCACCACCTTTTGACATTTATTTTTCTGTCGCATTTAATATTATATTTTAAAACTCATTTTAGGACTTTATTTTCTAATATGTTGCTCATTCATAAAAGATGTGAGGTTGATTTAAATATATTAAGTTAATAATATTTTGATTCTAGAGTAATACAAAGCATTTGACTTTACCATCTAAGTTAGGAAGTTTGTGACTGTGTAATAAAAGAAAATATTATTTACTATTCTCTTGATATACTTTAGTACAATAAAAATTATGCTTTAAGGATTTATTTTTATTTGTGTGGTTTATTTTTGTTCCTGTGATTTGTCTAAAAATTATTGTTCTATACTCAGAAATGAACACAAAACTGTCTTTTTTTAAATAGTAGAAGTATAATTCAGGGTGTGTTATATGGACATTTTTTCATAACATATGGTGAACTGATAAGGGATATATAACAGGTGAAGTAAATATTCCTTCTTAAATAAATTGCTCCTGGTGAAAAAGAGTGGATTAAATAATTTTCTCAGTACCTGGATTTTAAAAGAGAATTTTTCACATCATTAAGAATGGCTTCATTTTTCTCCTAAGGTGAATATATTTCTAAAGTATATGTGTAACATTTTAGATATGAAATTCCTGAGGACAAATTGGTAAAACATAACAGCAAATGAGAAAATATTCTATTAGCGAATTCCTCTTTATTGTGTCTGAAATTGTCTATGGTTTTAGATAGACTCAAGGATACATAGATACATAGATAGATAGATAGATAGATAGATAGATAGATAGATAGATTTTTAGGATATATATATATATAAAACCCTAAGATACATAAATATATTTTTATATGTATACATCTACTTAACAATATGAAGGATTATATCATGATCATTTGTATTCCTGTAAAGATACAGATACCAGTGATAGGGAATATTTGGAAGATTGCATAAATTCTTCATTATCTCTCTAGTATGACATTTTCAAGAAAGTTAAATTATCATAAGCTGACTCCCTAAATTCCAATTTTTAGAGTTTCTCTCTTTTAAAATTTTAATGTCTTTAGTAAATAAGAGTTAATCGCTAAATATCAAATATAATGTGCTTGCAGTGCAATTAACCTGTATATTTTTGACATAGAAAGTTACTTAGAATTATGATTGCTTGCACACACCAACTTCAGACAGCTTCTTTCCCAGTAAGGGGAGAAAGAGAACAGAATCGATCCTTTCTATGCATTACTAGTTGTTCCAAATAAACCAAATTTAATTATATATATATATATATATATATATTATATATATATATATGGTCAATTTCTTTCTTTTTTTTTTTTTTGGCTTTTTTCTTTTTTATTGGTACCAGGGATTGAACTCATGGGGGCCTGCTTGCAAGGCAGGCTCTTATGCCACTGAGCTAAATCTCCAGCCCCCTATTATATCAATTTCTATAAATTAGTTTGATGACTGGTCTTAGGTATAGTAATTGAAGTGTGACACTATTGGTTTACTATACTATATTTTTTTCCTAAAGTATTTGT